TATACACGACGGATTGAATATTCTACGTCTTCTGATTGGTTAACCTTCTATTGGTGGACTATAAAGTGAGTCAAGTCATTTGGATTGACTCACTAGTACATATTATACACAAAAAACTGCAACGATATCATCCGCATATATACCAAATTGAGAACGGATGTCCTCAGGAAGAAAATTGATGAAAATTATGAACAACGTAGATCCATGGTTACAGCCCTGGGCGACACCTGCATAAATGCAGAAAGATCGAGAAGAGTGGCCGTTCAGGATAACTTTCATTTCGTATTTTGATAAGACTGAATCACTTCAAAAATCCGTCCAGAAATACCATAACCTTTCAATTCGTGATGAAAACCGGTATGTTAAACATTGTCAAAGGCTTTTGAGATATCAACACAAACAGCGCGAGCCTCACCATTCTTATCTAAAGCTTGACACACTTTTTCATCAATAAACGTTAATACACTAGTACTTTACCTAGAGAAGCGAAAGCTATATTGTTTATATGAAAGAAAACCCTGTGATGTGAGATGCTTGACAAATTCAAAGTTGATTAGAGCCTCTAGTGTTTTACCAAAAAGGGATAGAAAAACAATAACCTGATAGTTGGAAGGATCAGGCGGTTCACTTGAGTTCTTAAAAACTGGAACTACAAAAGAGGGCTTCCAACAAACCGGAAAGCAAAAAGCAACCAAACATTTATTGTAGAGATGTAAGCGTTTTGAAAACAAAGGTAATGTTTGTTGCAGATTAATTCCAGAACCCAGAGAACAAATCTCTGTAAGTTCAGACTCGAATATCGGGCGCAGAAAGAAATTTCAAAAACTCGATTCGCAGCTATTATCTCACAAATCACAATGCATATAACCAGTCAGAAAAATAATTCACTCTTCGACGAATTCGGTACCTAAAATACAACAATTTTTCCCTCTCGATTCGAGAACAGCAACTGCTTTTATCGGCCGAGCATTTTTTTTCATTCGTCGACAACTGGGAGAGGACGCCAAATTTTTGCATATTAAAATACTTTTACAGAGACTCCTGCGACGGACTTGTTTTTAATCTAAATATTCCGTCTTCAGTATGTCATGCGAAATACGTGCCCCTTGTAATTTTCTTTTCCGTCGTAGGATACACGCGACGCGCTGTCGCTTGGTTTGATGAGGTAAGTCGCCGTTTTCTTCGCTATAAGTGAGAACAGGAGCCAGCCAGAATCACATTTCTTAAGGACTATTGCAGGGATGACATCGATTCCATATGCCTTGTGGAAATTCAATGTAGAGATGATAGCAGAAACCGCGGAGGTAGTTATATGCATATCACTCAACAGGTATTCATTTCTAAGGGGAAAATGAAGCAAAAATACCCAAGTGTGTCAAGAGTAAAATTACAAGAGTATTTACGAGACAAATACCTCAAAGTGAGTGAAGAGAGGAAGTATTGAGAAATTACTCCTCTTTAATACACGATGATAGAGTCGTCAGTAGTCACGAGATCCAAGAGACTGTACGGTGCCTTATTCTCTCTAGAACCTTCGAAGACGCGCAGACACAAATAGGTCTCTGTTTAGTTTGGGACTTTAGAAGGGTTGGACCGAGAACATCTGAGCATCAGTCAAATGTTTTATTCACTCTCATAATTACAGAAGTTTCTGTTAAGAAAGAAAATAAGAATTAATAAACAGTTGAAAGAAGAGGGAGTGATTTACTTGACAACGAGTCAGGTTGTGACAAAAGGTCAGATTTTAACGGGGGACTATAGATTTTCTAAGCATAGCTTAGATGTGGCAAAAGACGGAAAGTATGGGGCACCCAGTGAGGATCGAACTCACTACTCAGTCGTAATTGTTCTAGCGAGACAAACTTGCTAACCACGCTGAGGTGTCTAAATGCTTTTCTAAGCATAGATCAGGTATGGCACAAGGTCGGAAGTGTGGAGCACCTTGTGCGGATCGAACTCACTAATCAGTTATAATTTATCTAACAAGACAGGTTTGCTAATGTCATGGTGAAATACCCCTATTCTATAGTTAATAGACTCTCCCACCTATAATAAGTGGGAGTAGTTAGAGTAACGAGGCTGTCAGTCAGTCAGTCGACTGGCTGATCGGTTGAACTCTCTGCCTTCGGGCGGGGAGGAACCCGAACGAGGCTACGCCGAAGGGCGGAGTCTCCTTCGGGGAGGTAAACCGACCCTAAACCCGTTTATACGGGTTCAATGGGCATATTTTTGGCCGAGCCCACGGTCTCGGAGATCCTACGTTAAAAGGGCCTTGTGCCACATGACGCCCTCGTGGTGGGGGGACTGAATATCAGTCAGTCAGTCGTTCACCTCCTGATGGACTGTTCGGTTGAACAGGGCCGAGGGGCGGATTCTCTTTCGGGGAGGTAAACCGACCCTGAACCCGTTTATACGGGTTCAATGGGCATATTTTTGGCCGAGCCCACGGGCTCGGAGATCTCAGGTTAAAAAGGCCTTGTGCCACATGACACCCTCGTGGGGGTGGGGGTGACTGAATATCGTCAGTGAGTCAGTGAGTCGATGTCAGACGACAGTTAGTCGAATACGAAAGTATCAGCGACCACAACTAGATTACTCTGCGTAATACCAAGTTCCTAACGTTTTTTACGTCGAATCTATTTTGGGACCGACTTAGTACATATACAAGCCTCCACTGCGAAATAACTCCACAACAGCTAACCATTACATTACATCACGTCGAAGTGCCAAAATGATTTTCTTAGCATAGCTTAGATGTAGCACACGGTCGAATCTGTTGGAGCACCCAGTGGAGATCGAACTCACAATAGATCTAGCGAAGCAAGCTTGCTAAACATTACACCACGTCAAAGTGCCCAAACATTAGAAAGAAGAGTACTGCACTTCTACGTGATATCGGTCCTCCTTTGTGGCAGTGAATACTTGACCATATCCCCAAAGATGAAGCAACATGAAGTAACAGAAATGAAGATATCATAGACTGAACATGTGACCAACAACGAGGTAGGAGAGCCGAGTTCGAATTCCGGTCGAATCCATTACATTCACTTACGTGCTAATACCTTTGGGAAAGGTATGAATCCTCTTCTTTTCCCCCCACCTCCACTCAAGAAAGACGGATTCTATAGCCTTGGATGGCAACTGGTCTACCGTAGAAAGAAATGACAACTTACTGCGGAAAAAAATCTGCCTTGTCAGTCATGTATCGAAAGATACATGATTACCTATGCAAGTATCACGCATGGCATATAACTGACTGATAATATAAGGAAGAAACTGTTGAGACTATTAGCGCGCATGATGAGGAAGGAGGGCTTCGAAAATCTGATACTCACAGGACAGTACGCAAGAGGGACAGAATAAAACAACGCATAATATATTTAGTGAGCTTGAGTAAATGGATGACGGAACTACACAGATGATTTATAATTTGGTTTGGTTTGCTTTACGGCATATCAAATTCAGTGGGTTATTTAATGCCGACAAAATTTTTATTTCTGTTCGTATTTTTTCTTCAAAAATTGTATAGCCGGGAATATCTTTTGTCAAAAATGTATAGCCGGTAATAATTTTTTTACAAAATATTTCTGGTAATAAAATCTATTTTTACAGCACTTTCATTGTGTTTTGACCACAGTTTTGTGATTAACTATTTGCCCATAGTTGGGACCCCCACTAACAGGTGCTACCATCCCGGGTCAGGGTGGACCTGGGAACACCAGCAGTTAAGATGTGGTTCCACGCTCCTCAAAACCTCCTGATCAGAGGCCTTGCTGTTGGACGTAGTTCGTCGTCTTACTCAGGACGGAAAATATTTAGGAAAACATTCCCCTATTAATTATGCGACTTTCTTACACTCCGTATGTAAGGTTAGTTCCGCTCGTAGAACTCGTACGAATTTGAATTCGATGACTTTTCATGGGAGAGTTTTTGGAAAATATTTTTTTTCAAAAATGAGCATATTCCTACTCATAGGTAAAAATGGAACAGACCGAAATGATTTCTTTATCTACTTCATTCAAATACCAATAACTTGGTAAAAATCTTCCTTTTAAGTTTTTATCACTATTTCCACGAAAGGTTTTCAGACGAACTACATCCTTTAGTTCCACCAGCCCCAGTTATTACGACTAAGATCCTTCATGGCAGGCAGGTTGTAACGAACCATTCTCGTTCCTTTCGTATTCTATTGGTGAGATGTAAGTTTCACTCGAGCATCATCTTCCCACAAATCACTGCTTTGTGGAACCGACTCCCAAGAGGTTGCTTCCCCGATCACTACAATCTTAATCGTTTCAAGTTTAGGATTAACCGTTATCTTCCCCATACATCCGCATAAACTGTCTCTTACTCTGCAATGCTCTACCTCGAGTGGCTCCCAGACATTGTATCGGGTGAAGATCACCGTAAAAAAATATAGCAATCATCTCGAGAATGAAGATGCAATGTTAATTTGGCTAATTCATTTTGGGGCATATTTCAAGCAGAAAATTATATTTTCTCCTAATAGATTTACACCACTAAGTTGAGTAACGTACCTGCGCTTTCTTCTTTCAAGCGTGTTCGTCTTTAGTAGACATAAGTTATTATTATTATTATTATTATTATTATTATTATTATTATAGATAGTGAGGTTATTTCCTGAGAATAATTTGTTTATTTATCAATATTGTGTTTAATCAACGCGTGACCTATTATTAATAATTATTTATTAATATTAATAATATTATTATTACATTATAACAGAATTAGTACAGAATTGTATTATTAATAATTATTTAATCAACATGAGTCCTTTTATTATTAATGGACTAGTAACTGTGTTTAAATGTCACATTATTGCAATTTCTACTTCCAGGGCCTTATATTTTGAAAGTCTGTCAATTTTTTTCGATCAGATTTTTTATCAGACAGTGGACATATTATTATTATTATTATTATTATTATTATTATTATTATTGTTATTATTATTATTTCTTTCAAGTATATCGATTTAAAAGGATCGTTCTTCTGTCCTCTCTAACTTTACATAATTCTTCTTCCTTTTTTTCATTCATTCTTTTCTATCCTTCTTTCCTTCGTACCTCCCTTCCTCATTCCTATTCTTCGATTTTCTCTTCTTTTGTTGTAATCTGATCTACATCTTTTTTTCTTTCTGTGTCCTTTTCCTTCATCGTTTCTTCTTCTTCTTCTTTTTCTTCTTCTTCTTCTTCTTCTTCTTCTTCTTCTTTTTCTTCTTCTTCTTCTTCTTCTTCTTCTTCTTCTTTTTTCTTTTACCTGTTTTTCTTCTTCACCTCGTCTTTCTTTTCTGTTTTTCTAGGTGAAATTTATCTTTCGCCCTGATGATTCCATCTTTCTCTTTAATTTATTCTTTCTTTCGTTTGTTCTTTCTTCTTCCCCCTCCTCCTCTTCTTCTTCTTCTTCGTCCTCTTATCATTATTATTATTATTATTATTATTATTATTGGCATCGTTCATTTTTCTTACTCATTAATACATACCGTCATTTTCACTATATTGCTTTTAGTCCTTCTCTCTCTCTCTCTCTCTCTCTCTCTCTCTCTCTTTCCTAAAATGTTTTCTCTCTAAATGACCATATCCCTCCCCTGTTCCTTCGTTCCCTATTTCCTCATTTAAATATCATACTCCCACTGCACCTCCTTTTCAATCAGTCCCAGCTGCTTCTCTTTCTAATTCCTTGCTACCTGTAATTCCTCTCTTTACCTCCTCTGGCAAACGCCGACTTATTCACTCTTTCAAACATTACATTCTCCTCTTCCTACCCCCCAACCATTTTTCCTACCCCTACATATTTACCAATATTCTCTTTGTCCTTTTTTTCTTAACTTTTACCTCTCTTCTTAACGTATAATTTTACTCTCTCTCTCTCTCTCTCTCTCTCTCTCTCTCTCTCCCATCATTATCCTGTCCCTTCCTTTTTTTTTTTGTCGTTTTCTTCACTTTTTTCGCGTCTCGTCTTCATTGCTGTTAGCCAACCTTTAACTCTCTCTTCACCTACACTTCATTTTTTTCATTGCATTTTCAATCTATTTCCCGCCAAACTGAATGAATTAAAAGAGCCATTCCACCTCCAACCCTTCCAACGCTGTCTTTCTATATCCGTTCCGTTGTCCGTTCCAGTCCGCCAACCATCTCATTGATTGGCCCAAAATAGAAATTGACTGTCAGATGAATGCCGGACATATCTACTACAAGGAAAACAACAATATCACATAAGCGAGCATAGGAGAGAAGAAAAGGCGGGAAGAAAACACGTGGCCAATAACGTGACTTGAAAATAGACGAGACCGGATAAGTGTGCTCGATGGGAATACGGGATGATGGCCACAGCGGATGGGAAAATTCACTATTAACCGACTGGAATTTAGTTGTAATAGAAACGTTTGCGGGAAAATGTCGCTAACCAGGGATGTTGATATTTGTGACCTCTGGAAGTTAAAATAGATTTATACTAGACTGACCGTTCCGAAGAAATGGGGGTCGCTTATACTTATTCCATCAGAAGTTTTGGGAATGCGGTGATATATTTCTTTGAGTTTTAGTGGTGTTACAAAAAACATTTTTTTTATTTAACGTCTCGACATTAGAAGTGAAAGTATGGTGTAAACGATTCTAAAATCGTAATTTGATAATTGATGTGCGGACGGTGTGAAAGATAGGGACTTTTAATTTATCGAGTTCGAATCCCAGTGCGGTCGTTACATTCACTTACGTGGTAGTAACACCAGAAATGGTATGAATCTATATCTGAGTTAAACAGTAAGAACTGAATTTAGAAAAATCATTTTTATTTTAAAAAATAATGTTAATATAAAAAAAGAGAACATTTCTTTAACCCAAAATTTGTTTCGGGTTTAAATAATCTAAAAATGTTGATAAACCGTAAAAAACAATGAATATACAAATTAATGATTGAAAATATCTTTAAAATTGTTATATGGTGGATTATCCTATCGTGAACAATAAATGAGGGTCAGCATTAAATGCTGCCTTTCGTTTTACACTCATGCATTGTAGAGAAAATCAGGTAATGGAAAGACATATTTGATTTGTACTTTCTTAAGTGTGATACTAGCCCAGCCTATATATATATATATATACATATTATCATCCACAGACAGATTTTTCGCGGTTTTACAGCACATCAGTGTGTCTAGACATCCGATTGCTTCAAGATAAGGATCGAAACCCGACTGATTTGGTATCAGTCGGAGATTTTAAATAATAAGCTATTGGCGCGCGGCAGGGATGAAGGTGAATTTAGACGTATTTATTTTTTGACAAAAACGCCAGGGACCGGAGAACTCGATTCGTCTTAACGGAGAGTCTTGCATCAGCAGCATTAATAGTCATTTTTTTACAAATTCACTTTTCTCTCCGAAGAGCTCAACCGAAATATTTTCTTCAGGGGCATGTATATATCGTCATCCAAAGACTGTTTCGCTGTACCACAGCTCATCAGTGTGGCTAGATACCCGATTGCCTCATTATATAATAAATATCATTTTTTAAAATAATTATAATATATATATATATATATATATATATATATATATATATATATATATAGAGAGAGAGAGAGAGAGAGAGGGAGAGATTTAATAGGCCAGTTAATGAACATTGAGGAATGAAAAATCAACAAGATGATAACAATATTGGCAATAAGTTTGATGGTATTTATTATATATTAGTACTCCCTTTTGACTAAACTGAAGCACGAAAAGAAATATTTTAAAGTCGGAATTTTCGGACAGGCCTGTGTTCTTTTTCAACGAGACGAGAAATAGGTGGGACTCACTCTTCCGAGGCATTTTGTCGTTGGTGGTTTTTTCTTTGTTCACTTCTCGACTCGTTGAAAATAATTCACAAAAAATAATTCTTTGTATTGTGAAACTAAATACATATACAACTGAATTGGGGCTTTTAAGTAGTCAAGGCTAACTCTGGACAAGGAAGGAAATTATGTCAAAAATAATTGCGTGTATTGTGAAACTAAATAGAAATACAATTGATCTGGTGATTTTAATTGGTCAAGAGAAATTCTTGAAAAAGAAGGAGACTTTTTCGAAAACAAATTCTTTGTCGTGTAAACTTAAATAGCCATTACATTGAGTAGAAATGTAGAGGTCGACTCTGTTTTACTGAAAGTAAACCCGTATTTAAGCAACAGTATCAGTAAAGAGACTTGTGCTTAAAATCAGAAATAACGTTAAATTGTTTGGGTCACATACTAAGGAAAGTGGGCTTGGAAATTGTTGCGGATTCCGAGATGAAATTTGGTCTCCAATGAATGACAAACGCAAGAATTAAATATAAGAAATTAAATGTATTTACACAATAATACAATGGGTAATACTTTTAGTAAATCCAGGAACGCCGTTAGTAGTTTAAATATATATATATATATATATATATATATATATATATATATATATATAATTATTTATTTAAAATATGATTCCAAATCGCGACATAAAAAGTCCCATGTTTCAAAACAAGAGCCGAAAACTTCAATATAATTATTTAAATTAAATTGAGTTAAAAAAGCTCTGTTCCATCTTCAAGCGAATTTTTTTTTTTTTTTTGGAATAACGTGTTTCTGAAATTTACGTGTTTTAAAAATTGAAATCAAAATTTCCATGGTAATAGCTAGGGCGAATTGTTTAAATTGGGTAGGCGTGTGTTGGGTGTTAATAATAAGTATCAGTATAAAGTTACTTTCATAGATGTCAAGTCAGGGAAAGGTGGGGGTGTCTAAATTTGAAACGGAAGATGTTTTAGCCTAGTCTGGTTTACGTGTCTATGGAGATTTATTTACTTTTTTATTTTATTTTTTTATGAAAGGGATTTGTGCATATAAAAAAAACTGTCGTAACGTTTGTTTTTTGACGACTTCATAAAGGGTTATCTTTTTTTAGGGTATTTAAACTATTTATTTGGTCTATGGATTATGAAGGGTGTTATATTGTATACATGTTTTTAGTTAATTATTCAAACCATGAATCTGATGAGTGGGCTATGGATTAAACAAGTTATTATATTGTATGCTAGTTTTTAGCTAATAGTTCAAACCAAAAATCTGATGATGCCTACAAAAAACCGTTAACTCGTGTCTATTGTTTAATAGATTATTATTAGCTTCTAAATAATAATAATAAAATACTATATATATATATATATAGTCTCGAAGTAGGACTTCCTTAGAGTCTACGTGCTTGTAACTGTGACTTCTCCAAGCGGTTACCTCACACTATTACTCTACCCCCAACTCAATCACAATCTCTGCTCACTCTCTGCTCACTCTCTCTCTATATATATTCTGACTGACTCTGGGTATTTGACGGCAGCAGTCCAAGTAACACTCTGGTCGAATCCACTTATATGAAAAAGGGGTGGACCCCATAACAGAATTTTAGACACTCACTGGATAGATCTCTCAGAGGAGACCATATTAACTCACGAACTTGTGCAAATTGTTGTGGGAAAATTGATTGGGGTGATATTACTTCGAGCTACAAAGGTTAGAAATTTGTGGGGAAATATTATTGCTACGTCCCGAAAGGACACACTATCTATTAGGTTGTCACACATGAATTGACGAGTTTTTCGGTTGCTTATTGATCTGGTCTTCTAACGAAGTAATCTCCTTAGTAAATAAACAAATTGACATATTACTGACTAGTTTTCTTTCCAGATAATGTTTCTTTCAATAGATTGTTACTCATAAGCCTAACGAAAATGATTACAATAAAACAATGTCGAGTATGAGTAGAAACTGGGAAAAAGAATCATTCATGCATCGAATCATTACATATAATGAGAAATGAATACCCTTTGACAACAGTAAGTGAGTTGGCCAGTGGTTATAGATGATAATGAATCACTAAAACAATACCTACAATCTCCACTGTACCCTAAAAATTTAATTACTACTGTAGGGTGATCTTTCAAAGGGGTTATTCATTATACATTCTTGCCTCAATGTATAACAATAATTGCAACCTCCCATTGTGGAGAAATTGTGTGTATCCATGAAAAATTGAAAAAGAAACATCCTAGACTTGTGTATAGGGATGGCCCAATTTTGCTGGACGACAACACTTCTCACTCACATGCGTGAATTATGAAATTTTGCTTCATCCTCCATAAACACCTGGTATCTCTCCTACTTATTATCACTTATTTAAGCAGTTTGAATTTTTCATATGCAATAACACATGCTCCAATAAGGAAGAGGTAATCGAAGCATTTGAACTGTCTATCACATCAGAGGGTGAGATTCTTTTTAAAGATGGTTTCAAGAATTTAGAGGTACGTTGGAGAACAGTCATGGTGCCTATTTCAACTAGATAAATTAGTTAGTTAACATTTGAGAAGCGTTTCATTCAATTCCTAAAAGAAATTGCGCCATTTCATGTGTGGCAACCTAATAGAAGTAGAAACAGTCGCCATATTGCTTACTGCGTTAACAGGATTTGTCACAAATGTTGCTGAAGCTAAAACTCGATTTTTTTTTCATGCAAATCTATTTTTCTGCGCAACTGAATATGGT